TTGCAGCACGCTGAAGCTCTGGGACTACAGCAAGGGGAAGGTGAGTGCCAGGGCCGCGGACTCGGCTCCGGTCACAGACGACTCGGGCCGTGTGGTGGCTTTTGGAGGTAGCAGAGCTGACCCCTAGGAGGTGGAGCAGGAGGGCAGCTCAGAAGGGCGTCCTCACTGAGTTGGTTTGGTGCAAGAGTCTTGAAGACTTGGGTTTTTGCAGACTGCCATGTGCAAGTTTAGGGTTTCGCGCGGGCTTTGCACTTACTGGGGCGAATTTAGGGTGCAGATGGTCCCCAACTTCTGGAGGTTTGACTTAAGGTATTTTCAACTTGTGGAGTTTATCGGGACATAACCCCGTTGTGAGTTGAGAAGCATCTGTACTTTTCAGAACTAAGTTTAGTCAGGAATAAAACTCCTGCGCTGAGTACAGGAATGACGTAGAGTACAGGGCCGTCGTGACTGACACAGCCTGTCCCCTGCCTTCCAGTGCCTGAAGACATACACTGGTCACAAGAATGAGAAATACTGCATATTCGCCAATTTCTCCGTCACTGGCGGGAAGGTAAGTTCCCCGCGGAGAAGCCTCTCACCGTTCCCGACGTCCCCTCCTGAGGGGCCGCGCCTGCCGCAGGTTGCTCTGTCCTCTGGGAGATGCTTCCTGCGCCCACAGACTGACAGGAGTTTCCTGTGTTTCACCAATGTGAAGTCACACTGTGCCGAGTACTGGCGACTCTACTGAGTGTGCTGGGGTGTCCCTTGTCTGCTCCTAGGTCCGCCTCGTTCTCTTGCGTGGCGGCAGTTCTGTGGTGGGGGCGATGGGGCTGTGCTGTGACTGCTCATAGTGGGATTCATTCTACCACACGCCCCCCAGTCCTGGCTCTGCCATCTGATTGAGACCCCTGGCTGAGGTGGGAGTGACTGTGGCATTCAGCTACAGCGTGAGTGATGCACGAACTCAGAAAGTGGTACCTGAGGGAAGTGTGTTCCAGCCAGAAGCCGCCCGTGGTGCGTGTGGCTCCCGTGGCACCCGTGGCTCCCGTGTGTCCTCCTAGCGGGGGTGGGGCAGGGGCAGGGCTGTCTCCGTGTAGGGAAAGGGGACTTGAAGCCACGCTGAGACCCACAGGAGCTCCATGTTTTGAGTTCAGCATGATAACCCCCGGGGGCACGGCGTCATCGCAGTGGCCTGTCCCTTCCGCACACGTGAGCTTTGACCTCCTGTTCTTCTCGCCCATCTTTCCCATTTGCTGCTACCCAGTGGATCGTGTCTGGTTCAGAAGATAACCTGGTTTACATTTGGAACCTTCAAACAAAAGAGATTGTACAGAAATTGCAAGGCCACACAGGTGAGCTGTGTTTGTGACAAGTCATGTGTCAACCTTTTTTTTTTTTCGGTGGCTGGCCGGTACAGGGATGGAACCCTGGGCCTCGGTGTCATCAGGTCCACGGCTCCAGACACCTGAGCTGACCCGCAGCCTGCATGCCACTGTCTTTGTGCAGTGACAGTTGATGAAAACAGTGTGGTTTTCAGTGGCCTGCCACCTCCTTCCTCCTGGGTCCCCTAGTGGCCTGGGAGGGGTCCTTGCCTGGTTTAGAGACTGTTGCTAAGTGCCTTAGGCCAGGGCCGCAGAGCGGGTCAGGCCCGGTTCTGCCACAGGCCCAGGGCTGGCCTTGGCCTCCTCCTGTTCTACCGGGTGTTCTGGTCCTGGAAGTACACATGGCTTTGTGACTTCTCAGATGTACACAGCCCTGTTTCTGTGCCATGTTGTGGTGACCCCATTTCCTCGGCCCGGGATGGTGAGAATGCCACTGTCCCTCCTGCCACCCAGGCAGAGCCCCAGCTCCACGCTGCATCTCAGACTGGTTCCCAGTGCCCTGGGGATGCCCCCATCCCAGCTGCCCACGAAGGCCATTCTGCTGCTCTCCCGCCCCACTTTCACATCTTGCGGGGTCAGTGAGGGCCTTTGGAAGTCTGAGCAAGTGCCGCGCTCTTTCCTAAAGACAGCAGCTCCCCTGCGCCGGGTGTGGGCTGAGTCCCACCACCCTCATGCTGCACCCGGGCTGCCTCCCCTCTGCCCCCTTGCCAGAGGCGGCTCCTTGCGCCGCTGGCCACTGTCCTCTGTGGTGCGGGGCCCTCGGTGTTGACCAAAGACCCATAGGGAGCAGGCATAGTTTTGGGGTTGGTTGATGTGAACTGAACACATGTGGCTGTCCTCACAGGCTGGCGTGTGAGCTCTGAAATCCCTGCCTGGGTGGACTTCTGCCACAGTGACAGAGTCAGCCCTGCGGGGTGCTCCTGGGCCCAGTGGGGTGGGAGTGGCCAGCCCTAGGTCCAGGTAAAAGAGGGGCATTGTCCACAAAGAGGTGAGGCCTGGCAAGTATGGCTGTCGTCCCCGTGAGCAGGTGCTTCTGAGCCAAGAGTCCCCTCCTTGTGGCCGGCTGGGGAGGGTGTGCTATGGCTCCCTGCTCTGCAGATGGGGCTGGCCTGCAGCTGTCCAGCCCATGCCATCTGTCCCCCCTGGGGTCCCCCTGCTTTTCCTCCTGCTTGCTGTCTGTGGGGCTCTCTGTGCTGAGCGGCTAGGTGGCGGGTGCTCATTGCATCCGCCAGCACCTTTGAGCCGTCGCCCTGAATCCTCTGTGCAGTGGCCGGTGGTCTGGGCTGCAGGCGCCCTCGTCCTCCTGAGGCCAGCAGGGCAGGTGTGGCCACTAGCCCTGTAGGGCAGACGGGGCTTGGCCCGGGGCTGTGCCTCTGGACTCAAGGCAAGGGGCTCGCTCTTGACTGTCTTTCTGTTTTCAGATGTTGTGATCTCAACAGCTTGTCACCCGACAGAAAACATCATCGCCTCAGCTGCATTAGAAAATGACAAAACAATTAAACTGTGGAAGAGCGACTGCTGAGTCCTGTTGATACCACATGAGAGACTGTCAGGAAGTTGACCTGGATTGGCAAGAAACGTGGGTGTTGCAGAGGTGTCCCCTGGGTGTGGACCCGGGGGATCTGGACAGGGGCCTGATTTGAGCCTCCTCCTTGAAGATGATTTGGCCGAGGGGAACGAGCGGGCCCCCGGAAAGTTCTAAAAGTTGCTGGTGACATTTCTTGCCAATTCTTCTAACACTGTCTAGGGAAGAGCTCCTAGTCTATGTTGTGTTCAACCAGAGTCAACAAGAATTTTTAATTTTTTATTACAAAAGGGTGAAGTTCGATTTATCACGAGTTGTGTTTTTTTCCAGTAAATGTTCCGTACCTTTTTCGATATCTCATTACCCAGCGCAAACGCTGTGAGAGCCACTGCTGTGGCTTTGGCCTGCGGGCCCCACTGCAGGCCTCCCGAGGCCTGGCCCCCCTTGCGGTTGGGTAGATGCTCTAACGACATGGCTCTAGCTGCTCGTCCACCCCTGCCTGTGGTAGTTCCCAGTGTGTTTTCAGGTCTTTCTGGAAAACACAACACTGTAAGGTCATTGCCATGTAAAAACCTGTTGTAATTGGGAGTTCATGGTTCCTGCGCGACAGCACAGTGACTGCACCTGGTGGTCCCCTGTCTGTCTCACAGTGTGCATGCGACAGTGCACCGCAAACTAATAAAAGGTGGGATTTTGTATACAGTTGTGGCAACTGAGTTCTCATGTAAAGCTTGTCTCCATTTGGCTTTTTTTAATGAAAAGTCTCACAACGGGCAGGAGGTGGGTCAAAGGGATTTTTCTCAAAAGACAGATGTATGTGCCTGTCTAATGTGTCCCTTCACTTTCTGAAGATACTAGTATGTTCCATAGTGGGGTGGGAGGAGCGGGGGAAGTTCTTGGTTGAAAAGGAGCTGAAGCGGGCCAGCCC